ATCACTCGAGGCGCAATTTCTCAAGACCCCAGAAGCATGTACACTGCCGCTTCACTGAGCAGAGCGCCTAAGCTCTGATTTCCATGCCTGCAGATATCAGGCCTTCCCTACACGGGTCCTCTCCTTGATTAAACTCATGTTATATGAGCAAACTGTGGACACCTATTCCTGATCATATGCAGCATCTATAGTGAATTTTAGGTACATTTTGGCCGAATTTCCGTCAGGGTTTGCTTATCCGTCTGCTCAGCTCCCTGACTGCCAGGCCCCCAAAGTTGTACTGGTTTATTCGAAATGGACATCACTCACTAGCAACGTCTCCGTTTTATTGCCGAAAACCCCTTTTCCTCACTTTCTTCATCTCGATCCATTTACCGGTTAGCTGTAGATCCTTGATCTAGGCGTGTCATTTTTGCTGGTCTTGCTTCAATCTTGTTTTCCCAGAGTTTGCTTAGGCAGTAGGCAAGGTTATCGCTAACTCTAGCTTCCTCCAATCTCCTGATCATTACATTTTTCTCCCCAAGGATGTCAATGGCCTCGTTTATCTTCCGCTTCCTTGTGTTGTCATCGAATAGGGCTCTTCTTTCTGTTACTTTCCAATTGATTTCGTGTCCAGTCAGTGCGATGTGCTTTGCTAGTTCTGATCTTTTGGTATCCATTTTTCTGCAGAGCCTTTAATGTTCCTTAATTCGTGTGCTAATTTTTCTCCCTGTTTCGTCAATAGAATCCTGTTCGCAGGCGCTGCATGATATACAGTAAACTCCTGAACAATCCATTTTGTCTACCCTTTCATGTTGCGTTGGTAAACTTGTGAAAAGTGTTGATTTCTCTTTCATGGCTACCTGAATATTCCATTAACTAAATTTTGACCGTAGATTTTGAGTTAACTCGCAGGAAGGTAGGCCTATCTACTTTGGTGAAAACTTCTCCGTCCTTACTGTTCTTTCAAAGTCCCCGTTCTGCCATCAGCTTTTCACGGCCCGTATGTTTCTTTGTATCACTTCGCTAGGGCAGCCATTGCCGAGCAATATCCTGGTCTATTTTTCCAGCTTCTCGTCCCAGAATTCTACATCCGTTAGGCGTAGGCTTCGGATGATCATGTTTCTCATTGGTGCGGAGGATGGAAACGCTCACTGATTAAGTCCACGGTCTGATACCGGAAATTATGATAACTAAAATAGCAGGGGACTTCGGACAGGGTACGTTTTACTAAATCGCCCTGACAACAAGACCAAGCTGCGACAGCGAGGTCAACCTACTTCTATATATAAATAAAGCCGGTTAGTCTTCTTGATTTAGAGTTAACTTGAGGCTCCCAGCTATGACGATTTTCGTCGCATGACGAAAGAATGCTCAGCCCGTCTTCGCCCGAAACGGGGAAGGATGTCTTGTGGACTGCATCAACCTGAACGTCCTATTATGGCCAAACGGCTTCAATACAACGCGAATCAGCCGACCTCTTCTGGTGAGATTGACCTACTAATCTCTTCATCCCGTACTTTCATACGAAATTAAAGTCTTCACATCAATCTTTATGTATGGTTGGAGAAGACATAAATAATGAAACCCGAGTGTTTAGGTATTCTATATACGTCTCTACCGAACTTATTACCCTCTTTGCTCACTAATACATCCAAAAAAGGCAATTAATTTTAATCCATGGTAAGCTTAGTATTTGCATATCTTCTATTTATTAGCTCAATGCATTCACCCAAATTATCTTTGCCGTGTTGCCAAGCCGATAAACTAATCATCCATATAACGAACTAATAACTTTGAAACTAGAAAGGCCTCTTAAAACACACGAACTTCTAATTGAATCATGTAGTCACTAGCTAAAATAGGGGCTAAATAAGATCTTATGGGCAAGCCCCATGTTTGCTAATACAACTTACCATTGAAGTTAAAATATATATTATACATTGCCAAATTGAATAATTTTTGGCAACGGTTTTCCTTACCTTTCACTTCATTAGATATGGATTGTTTCTTCGAGTTAATTCTTATACCCTAATTTCTTAATTTCTTATCAAGTGTCTTTCTAACTAATTAAAAAACTTTGCCATTTAACCTATCCGCTATTCTTTGGAGTTAAATAAGTCTTCCGAACTAAGAGCTTTGGGCAAGATTTGCCTAAGTTTAATCTTAGTTTTAAGTAATGAGAGCATCTTTGCAATATTTCCCTTAAGTCTAATATCGACCAAATCATGGCATGCGTTCAAACGATCATTCTTACTCTTACAGGGTAAATTAGGTTTAGAAATAACACAAAATCTAGATCTAATTCTAAGGGAAGAGCAAATCTTCAAAGAACGAATTTGACTGGCCTGCAAGGCTCGAACCCTGAACTGCTTGAACTTCAATCACGTGCCCATGGTTCGAATCTCGCTGGGGTTGCTGATTAGCCGATGAGAAGAGGCCGAAATTGTAGAGCATGTCGGATGTGAATAGTTCGTATTCACGATATAGTGATTGTCTCAAGGTCCTATTCAATTAGAATTTAAGTAATGTCGTCGACTGTAATGGCAAATAAATGCTTGCTTAAGCTACAATCACACTAAAAAAATAATGAAATTTCCTTCTACATTGTGACCGAATGGTACTTTTGGCAGCCTGCTGTAGTGACAATATATCAAAAGTATATGCTGCAAAAGCACAAGCCAGCTTCGAGTCAGGGGATCTGTAGAGATGCGATCCAATCCAACTTGGATGAGAATAACTGCAACAGGAACTTCATTAGTAACATGTGAAAAGAATCTATCAGTCCTTTATCACCTGAAGCGACCCTTGGTTCAGAGGGAGAACAGTGGAAACTTCGTCACATGGCATCAGAGGAGAGTTTAAATTCTTACAACTTATTCAAGCTAGTGCGTCAATAAAACCAATTTTATTGCATTAGCCGTAAGACTTGCCATCACGCAAACGAGAAACCAGTCAGAATTAGTTTACCTTGACAATACATTTTATTCTATTCATAATAAATAGGTTTCGATACCATCAGTAGATCTTAAACTTCAGCCAATCCGGTTTTGTAACAAACGTGGAGATTGAGCTCTAAAATTCAACGATCAGCACTTCATCAAATTAAACAACCGAGGGAAGCTTATTTTGTTAAAATAATTTTTTCTCTAATTTACTAGCTGGTACTCACTTTCGCCCTTCCAATACTATTTTGGGATGATCACTACCGAAATATAACTCGAAATTCGGCGGTCGTTTGCTCTCAACTCAACCTAGATTAGAGCTTACTTTTCGCAGAGCAAGAGTTCTGTTTGCAGGAATACTTGGTTGAAATGAAGAGGTCCAGTCCAGATTATTTCACGTCTGCTCAACCATCAAAATCTATCTCATTCCAACCCAAGCCCCAAGCTCACGCTTTTGCAGGCAGGCTACGATTTTGGTTGTGAGTATCATCCAATCATAGCGCTTAGCATATTCCTGACATTCTTTTACTTTAGTAGATTAGTGAAATCCTGACCACAGTAATATCATAAAATGGATTTTTTGATTATTTTTGTT